ATGTAGACGGCATTATAAATGGATCTATGTTTTTCTTGTGAGTGTTATGGTGCAGGTGTTGGTTAATTAAATGACTGAATACACATTGTCTGGCATGTTCTGCAAACTCATTCGGTGCTGTGTATTTGTTAGGATGCTGCCTCTAATGAGGGAGCTGCAATATAAATGAGGGTCTCTGCTGAACCTAGAGAAATTCAAATTCAATATAAATAAAACCGTGAAAATAACGCGTTCTTTCCTCTAATTTTCAACCGTGTACCCTTTATCATGTCCTTCGACTCTCAATGTCAAGCGCACTCTCACTAAGGCAAGGGTAAAAAAATGAATAAAGCTGTACTCCGCTATTGTCCACAATGGCTGCCCTTCACCTTGAGGTGGAAAAGAGGCTGATTGGTATACTTATCACCATGGCGACCACAAACCTTGGGGAATATTGGCAACAGGCCTGCAGCATGGAAATAATATGACAATGATGAAAATCGGGAATGATGTGGGTAGACTGACAGAGAACAATGGCAGTACTGGCAAGGCATTATTAGCTGAACTTGGATTTAACCCCTTTGCTACTTGAAGTGTTTAACTATTAAACCACTTATTTTGTTCGGTGTTTTCCCCTTCTCTCTTCATGGTGTGCATGCCGTTCTAGAAATATCACCAGAATCCTCCAGATTGGCCAATCTTTCTATGCATTGTGATGAGAGGTGTGTGATTTTGTTTTCATATATACCATTTTTTTAAGAGTTTGCATTTTAAAATAGAAGCAGGTTGATTGGTTATTTTTGTTAAGAGTTTTAAAACAAAATAACTGAGTCAGACAGTCCCTCTAGAATACTAACCTCATCCAGTATGAGAGAGAAATAGAGAGAAGGGATCTCATGGAGTGTTAATGGAAGATTGTTTTGACTGTGCTGGTTTATCAGAGGTGGGTAAACACTAAAGGGTTGTTTTGACTCAGGATAATCAAAGATTGATTTCATCTTAGCAAACTCAGAGATCTAGAGGAGACCTGACTGAGGTCAGAGGCAAGTATAATTTCTCTTTATATTGCAAGCACAGGACAGTTCAGGGAAAGCACAGTTATCCCATTGTAAAGGTTTAATTAATGAAATTTCTGAACCAGGAATGTTTGGTTAAAAATCAGCAGGCTGTTAGAAGCTGAGAAAGCCTAAATCCTAGGTTTTATGAGTACTCATCTAAGAAGACTTAATAGTTCACATGAAAGAACTCAGATGACCACATTTTAAATTGAACTTAGATTTAATGTAGAAGGGTAATTTATTTGGATTAGAGTCATTGTAATGGATCGTGTTGAGAATTGACATGAGACGTGTTTTACTTTGTTTTAAGATCTTTCAAACTAGGTAACTCAATTTGGTTTTTAATTGTTTTATTCATTTGTGTACTAAACTTCTGTTCCATTGTTAAAGAAACTCTGTAGCTTTGTGTGACTTATTTCCACCACATTAACTAAAATTTTTAAAAAATGGTTAGTCAAGCTAGATTACATTATGGAAGCTGACTTGTCTAGAATTAAAACTGAGTTAACGTTTCGGGTCCGGTGACCCTTCATCAGAACTGCGGAAGGGTCACCAGCCCCGAAACGTTAACTCTGTTTTCTCCTTCACAGATGCTGCCAGACCTGCTGAGCTTTTCCAGCAACTTTGTTTTTGTTCCTGATTTACAGCATCTGCAGTTCTTTCAGTTTTTGTTTAGAATTAAGATCATAACAGCATGTCTGTAGAAATTATAGGAATCCTGATTGTGGTTTATCTCTCACAAGTCCATTCGAGCATATTATTCTCTCAGAATCTATAACATGGCCACAGTTATAACACCCTTAATGCAAGAAATCAAACGTAATGTCCTCCTGACTTTCATGGCTCGGTACCAGACCATGTATCACATTTACCGAATTTGCCACTAGATCCTTTAATAGGTTTTATCCTCTGTCTGATAGAAGCACCAGAACCAAATCCTATTTGTTGCACAGTCAAGGGAATCGTGTCATGTTCCAGAAAGCTGTTTGGTGAATGATAAAATTGGAGTTATTGATCACCTCGACACTCTGAGGGAATTCCCTCCCTAATGGCTTTAAGGGCCAACCCACAGCAGGTTGTACTGCAGTGGTTCAAGAAGGCAGTTCACCACCAACTTCTCAAGGGCAACTAGGGACTGGTAATAAATGCTGACCAGCCAGGGATGCCCACTTCCCACAAAATGAATAAATAAAAAAATTTCCAGAGAAAAACATGACAAGCACGCATCTCCACATTCCACTACTCCTGTTTCTATGAGTGTCTCTTTATATCTGCTCATTAAGCGTATGTATATTGTTGATTCATGGGATGTGGGTTTCACTGCCTGGGCCTATTCTTTTTATTGCCCATCTCTTGTTGCCCTTGAGAAGGTGCTGATGAGCTGCCTTCTTAAACCGTGGCAATCCTTGGAGTGCGTTGGATGTACAATGCTGTTAGGGAATGCGTTCCAGGATTTTGATCCAGCAACTATGAAGGAACAGTGATGTAATTACTAAGGATGGTGAGTAGTTTGGCAAGGAACTTTAAAGCGGTAGTGTTTCCATGCATCTACAGCGTTTGCCTTCCAGATGCTCATGATTGTGGGTTTGGACGGTGCTGTCTAAGGAGCCCTGGTGAATTTGCAGCACATCTTGTGGTTGTACAACACTGCTACTACTATGCATCAGTTCTAGAAGGAGTGGATCTTTGTGGGTGTTGGCAATCAAACGGGCTACTTTTTCCTGAATGGTGTCAAACTTCTTGAGCATTGATGGAGCTGCACTATGGGGAGTATTCCATCCTGCCCCTGCCTTGGGGAGTCAGGAAGTGAGTTATTCACAGCTGGGTTCTTAGCCTGATCTTGTAGCCACAATACTTAGATGGCTAGCCTGGTTCAATTTTTGCTCAGTGGTAATCTCAAGGATGTTTATGGTAACCATTCAGTGATGGTAATGCTATTGAATGTCAAGAGATGATGGTTAGCTTTTCTCTTGTTGGAGATGGGCATCACCTGAGATTACTTGTCAATTTGCAGCCCAAGCCTGGAGATTGTCCAGGTCTTGCTTCATTTAGAAATGGACTGCTTCCATATCTAAGGAGTTGGGAACAGCACTGAACATTGCGCAATTGACAGTGAACTTCCCCATTTCTGATCTTATGACGGAGGAAAAGACATTGATGAAGCAGTTGAAGATGGTTGGGCCCAGGACACCAGCCTGAGGAACATATGCAGAGATGACTCATAACCATAACAATTTTTCCCAACCGCCAGTTATGACTCCAACTAGTGGCGAGTTTTTCTCCCGATTCATGTTGACTTATTTTGTTAACGCTCCTTGATGCCAAATGCGGCCTTGATGTCAAGAGAAATCACTCTCACCTCACCCCTGGAGTTCAAGTCTTTCGTCCAATATTGAACCAAGGTTGTAATGCGATCAGGAGCTGAGTGGTGGAACCCAAACTGCATTAGTGAGCAGATTACTGCCAAGCAGATGCCAGTGTTGTGGTTATACTGGAGCAACTTGGCTAAGGGAACAGCAAGTTCTGGACTTCAGTACTATTGTAGATATATTATGCAGGCCTAGTGCCTTTGCAATATCCAGTGGGTTGAATAGAATTGGCTTAAACTGGCAACTATCAGATCAAGGGTAATGTAAGAAAAATCACTTTCACATGATGAGTTGTTCGGGTATGGAATACACTGCCTGGAAATGTGGTGAAGGCAGCTTCAATTGAGGCATTCCAGAGAGCATTGGATAGTTTTTTGGATAGTAATGGTGTGCAGAAATATAGCAAAAAGGTGCGAGATTGGTACTAGGTAATGGAACTGGTGCAGGCACTATGGACCAAATGGCCTCCTTCTGCACTGTTATGATTCTAATGATATGTTTAAATCACACATTTCCCAAATCTTTCCTGTGGAAAAAATGGTCAGGAAATCCCATAACCAAAGCATAGATCCTCAAGGAAAGGTGCAAGGTTTGAAGTTTTTTTTATTATTTAACTTATTTTACTAATCAACTTGTTCAGGAATGTTATTACACACCTCTGGGGCAGGTGGGACTTGAGCACAGGCCTCCTAGTGCAGGAGTAGGGACACTACCTCTGCATCACCAAAGGGCCCTTTAAGGTTTGAAACTTAGTCCTGGCAACTTAATCAAACTCAACTGAGGTAAGTGTTCTAACATAATTTTATTGCCCTGAGCTACAGAAAGAGGTATCTATCTGCCTATTCCACTCCTCAACCCCATTCCATGTTCTCATTGTTGTAATGTGGCTGAGAATTAGCATGTGTGCATGTATTGCCCAAGGCCAAGATCGTACAGTGCTCATTTAAACTCTGGAAAGCTCCCAGCTCTATAATTATAGAGCCTGTACTTCTAAAATTGGGTTATATCTTTGTGAAATAGTTTGGACATAGATCTGGAACTGGTGGTTGCACTGAGTTTAGTTGAGATGATGCATTGAAGTCTTTATTTCACTCCTGGGATGTGGGTGTCACTGACTGGGCCAGCATTTATTGCCCATTCCTAGTTGCCCCTTGAGACGATGGTGGTGAGCTGCAACAGTGTATGTGCTGTAGGTTGACCCACAATGCCACTAGGGAGGGAGTTCCAGGTTTTTGGCCCACTGAAGGAATGGTGATATATTTCCAAATCAGGATGGTAAAATTTGGGGAACTTGCATGTGATAGTGTCCTTATGTAGCTACTGCCCTTGTCAGTCTAGATGGTAGTGTCACAATTCAGAATATTAAAGAGCATTGACCCAAAAGTATATGAAGCTGATAGATAATGAAACCCATGAAGGCAACGATTTGCATTTCAATAGCACTGGTAAGTTAGCAAAATGTCTCCAGGCATTTCACAATAGCGTTGCCAAGCAAGACATTGCACAATGCCTTAAATTCTATCATATGACCAGTGTGCAACTGACCTACATAACACCCACAGCTAACCAGGTTCTTCATTTTGAATCCCACCAGAGTTCCAGAGGAAAGGAGACAAGAAACGTGGAAAGGGTCTCCAGCTCTATGACACTCCCTACGAGCCTCAGGAAAATGACATCGAGTCGGACACAGAGAATGCAGCCAGTCAGAAAGTTCGGGAGAGCCGGCTTCCTCAAGATGACGAACGACCTGCTGATGAATACGATCAGCCCTGGGAGTGGAAAAAGGACCACATCTCGAAAGCTTTCGCAGGTACAGTGTTACAGTCTGATTTGGTGCACACGTGCTCAACTCATACTCATACTCAGCAGGTCACAGCAATTGATTCGATTGCTCCTTAACCTTTTTTTTTGAGTTCTCCATGACCCGAGAGACTGCTCATGCATTCTACATTGGCTTCCCAAATGTAGCTTGCAAAATTAAGGTGAAATGAGATGCTCTTCATCTCTTTTCAAGAGGCGGGTGAGTGTTTGTCCCTGAGGAATCATGAGTCGTGATGAAGTGCTTGACCTGATTCAGTTTGATCACCTAAAGTCTGCACACACTGTTCTAGTGCTCGATGATTGTGGCAATTTTATCTTCATGCCACAGATTTGCATTCCTTTGTCATTGATGAGACATTAGAAAACAAGGAGTAAACAATGCACTGACACATTTAATCTAAAACTCCAGCCTGGTCCTGTCCCAGTTCTCTCCTCCTCCTTTGTCGAGTAATGCTGGATATGACTGCACAGGTGCCTACGACCACTCAGAGTTTTGTGAAAGTGACCATTTTTCATTCAGAAACCTGGGTAGCAAGTGTCCACACAGGCTCAGTGCTGCCTGTCTTCCATGCATGTATCTTCCAACAAGGGTCACAGTCAGTTTATAGTGAGCCCTAACTTTCATGTCTCTTTGTTTCCCTGAAGCACTGAGGCCCACCCACCTGTCTATCAGTACGTTATAGACTGAGACTTCCTGCTTTATAGACCCCAGTGACACAACATACCAAAGTCAGCTAGCAGGGAGCCTCTAACTTCTGTTGCTGTTAATCATAAAATCACAGAATCCCTACATTGTGGAAGCAGGCCGTTCAGCCCATTGAGTTCATGCTGACCCTCTGAAGATCAGCCCACATACATCCATCCCCCCCACCTGATATGCCTGCATTTCCCATGGCTAATCCTCCTAGCCCACACATCCCTGGACACTACAGGGCAATTTAGCATGGCCCATCCACCCTAACCTGCACATCTTTGGACTGTGGGAAGCAACCGGAGGAAACCCAAGGAAAGTTTAACTGTTTGCTTCGGTCAAGCTCCAACTTGGCTCGATTGCATTTTCTTCAGTCGAAGATTACACAGTGGTGTTTCACTTCAGGACATGAGAACAGGCCCCACAGTGCAGTGTGCTGCAATGCTGGAGGGTAGTTCTTATCAGATATTAAGACTGAAGTCCCGCCTGCACGTTCAGGAGCAAATTGAACAGTGTTGAGAGGGTTGGTACCTCAGAAGAATGAGACCTGAGGGGCTTCCTAAACAGAGTCTTCCGAAATGTAAGCAAAGTGGCCTACAAGTTAAATAGTTAACGCTAATGGAAAGATTCTGTGCTGAGCACATACCTCAGGGACGTTTCTTGTTCAAAGAATCGGGATGGGGGAAGTGTTCTGTAATAACAAGTGGGGGAGAGTCATGGAAAAACCAATGAGTGTTAACTGGCTTGAACTGGCATCTCAATTGAAGATATATTCTGGGTTGCTCTCTGCGGAGATAAATTGCTCCTTCAAGCAGCTGTGGCCTTTTTTCTCATCCTTAATGTATTAACCCTTCAGGCGTTCCAGGGCTTCAGACTTTCTTCATTGTCAGCCACGATTCAGAGAACTGACAGGAGAATATGGCTGTTTGAATTTACCATTCGTTTGAAAGGGCCGATGTCTGTAACATAAACCCAACGCATAGTCCCCAGCACATGTATTTAATTCTCCACATCATACAGAGATTAGCACCCATCTTCATTGCTATGAAAGGGAGTGGGACAAATTGAAAGGCAGCCAGAATCAGCACGTTGGACTGAATGACCTAATCCTTTGCTGTGTCATTCTGTGAGAAAGCAGAGAGCGTTAAAGTGACAGTCCGTGCTGTAGACTGGTAATATTTCTTTGCTGCTCATTTTGCAGCAATCACTAACATTACAGTAATAAATCCATGGAAACAGTAGCAAAGAGCTTATCATGGATAATTAACATTAAACTGCGAAAATAGATAAAACTAATTTTATGTAAAATTAAACAATAGTTTACACAGTGCCATCCTTTCTCTGGTTCAGAGTTGTTTCCTACCATTTCCCTGTCCTAATGTTCCCTTGTGTATTAACATGTTTTTAGATGTCTTTAAACAAATCTTTATTTTTCACTTTTTCTACTCCGTGATTAATTTCGGAGGCAGTTGCAGTTGTATTTTTTTTAAATGAGGAACTAATATTTTAGTTGGCTAGACCACTATTGCATTTCAGATAACGGAGAGCTCAGAATCAGATGTGATTATATCGCTCCAGAGATAGTAGGAACTACAGATGCTGGAGAATCTGAGATAACAAGGTATAGAGCTGGATGAACACAGCAGGCCAAGCAGCATCAGAGGAGCAGGAAGGCTGACGTTTCGGGGGG